CGTTCCCAACCTCTACCTTCGATGTCTCTTCTTCTTTCTGGGCCCATGCGTCCACCTCCTTCTTAAACACTTGGTCAAAAGGTTCATTCTCCGAGGGCACTCCAAATCTCTTGGACCGTCCTGCTAGAACCTCCTTTTTTCCCTTCCCACTGCTGACTATTGTAGTCCACCGTCCTCGCCTCGCAATATTGCTACCCCTGTATCCCCCCCCTGCGCGATCTCCTTTACCATCCCACCAATCCCATTGCACACCTGCTCTACGTTCCCCTCCTGGCCTTCACGAGAGGGAAAAAAAAAAAAAACTCGTGTGTGTGACCCCGGCTGATGGGTCCAGAAAATGAATGTACCGAAGCAGGCACAGACTGACGTCCAGAATACATGGGACGACAAAGAGAGAGAGAGAGAGAGAGGGAGAGAGAGGGAGGGTAGAGGGACAACAGACAAAGTTGTAGGCAGGCAGAGGAACAGACTCAGGCAGGAGACAAGCCAAGGAGAGACGGGGACACACACTTGCGCGCGCGCGCAGATTCGAGAGAGACGGGAGACAGACAGAAAGGCAGGCCTCTATCCAACCCTTACCCTTCCCTTGCGCTCTTCATGGACGACGCCCCCCCCCCCCCGAACCGGCACTCGCAGGTCGGAGACAAGTTCTCCTCTCGCCACGGTCAGAAGGGTGTGTGCGGCATCATCGTTCCTCAGGAAGACATGCCCTTCGCAGACTCGGGTATCTGCCCCGACCTCATCATGAACCCTCACGGGTTCCCGTCCCGAATGACCGTGGGGAAGATGGTTGAGCTGGTCGCCGGAAAGGTGAAACCGCCGCGTGTAACGTTAGGTTTAGTTAGACCGCCAAATGTAGCGTTAGTCTTTTTTGTTGAAATGCGTGTGTGGTCTGTCTATTATTGTGGGGAGGAGCGGTCGTGTGAGTGGATTGAGCGTCTTGCGCTCTTGGCGCGCGCCAGAGTTATCGTGAAGAGAAGAGATCGTTCTTATATGACGCACAGCCTTATCGTGCAGGGGGGGGACTGCGTATCACCCCAGGGACAGCATGCGTTCAACGTCCAGTTAACTAGCACCTACCGGTAGTAGGGGATACACGACCTGACGTCGCGTGCAACCTGATGTCGCCTGCGACGTGTTAAAATACAAGTCGCCGTGGCGTCAGAAGTCTTTTTGGCTTGTTCCAGGAGGGGAAACCACGAACGGACCAACCTAGTCTAGAGAACGGACCAACCGGTGGTCGTCCTGCAAGGTCGTTTCGGCCTGTAGTCTCATCCCTTCGAGGATTGAAGGCATGTCATGTCCTTATGTAGCCAGACAGAGTCCATCTTTTCACGCCCCTCAAGTGCGCGGGGTGTCAGCCTGTTTTGGACGGTTGTGGCACGGCCTTTTCTTTTCCTTCCTCCTGTCATGCGTGTGCGGCTCGGCGAGGCGCGAGGGTCGGGCGGCGGCGAGTCTCTTGGGAGTGTGACCAATCGCGTTGTGGCACAGCAGCACAGTACAGCGGTGTTCCTCGGTTCCTGTCCCGTGTATGAAGCTTGCTCTCCCTCCGCCGGTCCGTCCTCCAGGCTGGGGTGCTGCACGGGCATCAGGCGTATGGCACGGCGTTCGGAGAGGAGCACGGTAGTGCTGATCGCGTCCACCTCTGTTGTCAGGTAAGACGTGAACAAAACATGCCGGGCCGTACAGGGTAACGATTTCGCCGAGAGTTAAGTCCACGCGGCAGAAGAGCGAGTAGAGCCGTGGTAAACGAGACCGATATCGCGTGTACGTTAAAACGCCGGTCGATTTGATCACCAAGAGGCGTGTTGATGAGGACCAAAGCAAACTTTTTGGTTTCTTTTCCCGCCACGAGATCGTGCGGAAATCATGCACTCTCACGTCCTGTTTAGGTTTTTTTTTGTGTTTTTTGTTTTTTTGTTTCTTGTATGGCATGCAGCGCAAGTGGAGCGCTTTGTTTTCATGCGCCATGATGCCATCCCTCACATTCATGGCATGTCGTGTTCGCGAAGACCCCCCCCCCCCCCTTCTCTTGCCGCCATCCGGGTTGGCTCATCATCATCATCATGGTCATCATTTGCCCAGCCTTTCTCTCCCTCAATCCCTCCCTCCTTCCGCACTCCCTTCCGCCGTAGGCTCTCGTGGAGCGAGGCTACAGCTACGTCGGGAAGGACATGCTCACCTCCGGCACCGGTGGAGAGCCCTTGATGAACTACATCTTCGCCGGACCAGTCTTTTACCAGAAGCTCAAGCACATGGTCATGGACAAGGTGTGTTTTAAGGGATTACTGCTGTTCTTTTGTTTGTCGATGGTGAAAATGGTGTGTTGGTGACTCATGCTTAATTGTCAAGGTAGTTCATTTGTGGGTTTGATCCTGACAGTTGGATATTTTATGTTGGTCATGAAGAGAATGTTTGTGTGCTTGATGGATACATGATGCAAGGTGTGTGCTGTTTCTTGATTTTATCTGATTGTTAACAGCAGGGTGTCTCGGTGTTTCGGTGTTTTTATTATATGAGGTTCACCATTACGGTGCTTGGTCAGGAATTCGACGTTAACGGCGCGCGGTTTTCGACGAGATGGTTTCTTTTTCCTTCTTGTTTTCGTTGATTTGACTCACCATGCTTTCATATTTTTTCAGGTAGTTTTTGTTGCTTTTCCCAATCGCCTTTATGATAGCCATTTTCGCCGTCGTTGTTGATTGACGATTTTGCTCTCAATAATGTCTGATTGTTCGATGATTTGGTTTAATGTTTTACAGCAGGTGACAGGTACATGTTGTTGGCTGGGTTTGTGCAGTTGTCTTGTTTTGGGTACGCATGCTGCTCCGATGGCCTTTTCGGTACATTTCGTTCGACGCCCTCGGGGTCCCACCTTCTTCGCCGCGGTACACCTGTTGACCGCGCTTGGCAACGAAGAACTCTTAACATCTCTACCTCTGCCCAGGGCATTCGGTAGCTATAAGAACGTCCGTCCCCCGCCGTACGGAGTAACCTCTGCCCAGGGCATTCGGTAGCTATAAGAACGTCCGTCCCCCGCCGTTCGGAGTAACCTCTGCCCAGGGCATTCGGTAGCTATAAGAACGTCCGTCCCCCGCCGTACGGAGTAACCTCTGCCCAGGGCATTCGGTAGCTATAAGAACGTCCGTCCCCCGCCGTACGGAGTGCCTACCACCCTTATTATTGCCGTCCCGGATTAATTCGATCCCTAACGTCCGTTCTTCCAGATGCACGCGAGAGCGAGGGGGCCCCGTGCCGTGCTGACGCGCCAGCCTACCGAGGGGAGGTCGAGGGACGGGGGGCTCCGGCTGGGAGAGATGGAGCGAGATTGTCTCATCGGCTACGGGGCCAGCGCGCTTATCATGGAGAGGCTCATGATCAGCAGCGACGCTTTCACGGCAAACGTGTGCCAGGGATGCGGCTTGCTTGGGTGAGCGATGGGGGTGCTCATGCGTTGCTTGCCTTTTGAGTAAGTTGACCGTTGACCATGTATCTTTTGTTACGAAACGGAGAGCCACTCCCAGAGGAACCTCCAACAACCGGGCGCGGTGAATATTTCTCTGAATTGCGGGCGAGGTGTCTATCAGGGTTGGTCTCGGGACGCACATCTAGACGTGTTTTTGCGCGCGTGTGGTCGACACGGACGGTGGATACACGGGAGGCATCAGTGCATAGAGGTTAATGATGTGTATAACTTACGTCTCTCCGATTGGACGAACGGATACAACGAGGGAGGCGCGAACGAGATCGATCACGTATACCAGCCAAGTAGGTGTCTCTGCGTGTTGCTCTTGTGTTGCACTTTTTACTCAACGCGTTCCTTTGTCAACACCACCTCCCCGCGGCAGGTACTCGGGATGGTGTCAAAACTGCCGCAGCCCGGAGAAGATGGCCGACATCCGACTACCGTACGCATGCAAGCTCCTCTTCCAGGTAACACCACCTACGGGTACGGTAGAAAACTTGACACCAGTATTATCGCATCTAGGACCGAGGCTCCCGTTCATAAAAACATACGGTCGAATCGGGTTGCGTCAATTAGTAGCGTTGGTTGGTAACAGTCGTAGGTGTTTGGCCTACATTGCAAGTCAATCCGATGAGCGCTGTGCGTATAGTAGTACAGTAGCATCACGGATGATGGCCACCGCGTCTGCTTAGGTTCCTCTCATTCTTGCTGTATCTACGTGGGCAAACCCAGACCTCTGTAATCGTGCCCTCTCTTGCGAGTCTTGTTATTCCGTCCGGTGAAAGTAGGTGGATGCTGCTCTTATGTTGGCCCGGTTGTGAAGTAACTACTGCTGTGGAGGCATCCTGCCTCTGACAGCCCTTACGACTAGAACCAGACGACCTGGTTGTGGCATGTCCCCCTCGTAGGAGTGCGCGGCTGTTTGCTGCTGATTCATTGCTGCTGCTGCTGCTGCTGCTGCTGTCTGTTTCTGCTCTTCGTTATTCTGCTGTTGAAACGGCCACGGCGTCCAAATGAATGCACGCGTGGCTATTTTCCCGCCGCGCGCACTACAGGAGCTCCAGAGCATGAACATCGTGCCCCGGCTTAAGCTTCAAGACTTCTAGCCTGGGAGCTGGGAGCCCGCCTGCCTACCTAGAAGGGTTCGGCGAACGCCGTTCTTGCTCGCAGACGGGATAGAGTCCCTGAATGGATGCACACGTTGAGCTCGTTTTGCGGTGGAGGACACCCCACAAGAGTTGGGGGGAAACGCTTGTGCTCGGTTGAGCTTTTGAGTCCGCGGTGTCAAGGACACGTTGGGTGATTCATCGGTTCTGGTTTTGCTTTTCTAAACGAGGGAAAAACACGATACGCGTATTTTTTTTCCTAAGGAATAATAAATGCACACACAGAAAGACTACCCATTGGAGATATACCCACAGTCGAACGAGGTGTGTTTCTTCTTACAAATACGTACTTCTAACAAATTACGTTAACTGGGCTAAACAGTGAGTGGCCCCAGTAGGAACGGGGTTGATTGACACTCGGCACTTGCTCGGCACCCCGCATCTAAGTTGATCTGCGGGAAAGCAAGCAAGCAAGACAGCCGGCAGACACCCTTTCGCCGTCCGCCGTGCATGGTTGTCATTTTCGCCACCCACTTGAGTGAAACCCGACACATTCAAAAGATGCTACTATATATGTGCTTTTCGATGAAAGTGTGGCGTGGCATCAGATTATTTCTGTTGTGCCGGTCGTAGAGGAGCACGACGCACGAACAAGGTGATACTTGTAGCTTTCCAAAGTCTGTGCTGTCCGGCGGTTGTTGAGAGATGAAGTGCGGCGTTAGTCTAGTTTGCGTAGACGGGCTGCTACATCTCGCTGGGAAGAAACAACAAGCGCTTCCATTCCATTCTCAGGACGCCATTTCTCTAACCTCGCCCTGCTGCGTGACTGGACTGCGGTACAAAGGGAAGGGTCGTAGGCAGCGTAGGAAGGGGAAGATATATACGGGGGCATTTTGGTCGTGTCCCCGGGGTTTGCATGGGATTCCTACAAGTTTCGCCGCATTTTTTCGTTCAAATCTGGGCGACGGCGGTGCTCGCCCACAACTCAAGCAGAGATCACAAGCAGCAAGAGAAAACCTCGCCAGACTTGAGCAAGAGAGCATCTTGACTGTCTCGACGAACGGAGAGATCTTACTATCCCGTGGTCGAACACCATAGAGCGTTTTCAGCACCACATCTGCGAGATCATATTTTGAGTCTCCGGCTACCTATACGGTATACAATACACAAAATCGTCAACAACAGCACGCGTACAGCATGCCAGGCGGTACCAGAAGCAGCAGCAGGAGGAAAGGAGGCGAGAGCGATCAGCGCACAGGTGAGGCCAAGAGGAATGATCTTGACCACGGTTGTGTCCACGGGCGTGTCTTCGTAGGTCAGCTCGTGTCGAGGGTGCGGTGAAGATGTACGAGGCGTCCCGGGTGATGCACCCTACAGTCTAGATATTTTCTCGAGTCGTTGCACAGAGCCAGCCTAGGGTCAGGCAACCCACGTAAACGATCACCATCGCGAGACATCGACGCCCCCTAGCCGCCCCAAGTCTGGTGAAGCGGCTGGTACAGACCACGCCGCCTTCATCCAGAAGTGCACGCTACGCGAAAGACGTCGTGTGAGACCTCAAGCCGCTGTCGACAGAACCCATCAAGCCGAAAGCACCGAAACCTCTGACCATCGACGAGAGAGGGAGAGAGACATGGCATGCACACCTCGGCTCCTGTCGGGCGTACACGAGACGAGCGATAGCCGAGCTTCATCTGGTCGCTATCCAGAGTGTTCATTCTAAGTTGTCGTAGAGGGTGGGGCGCTACGATTGAGTATAGCCGTGCTGTCCGTTCGTTGAGCACTTCCCTTTCGTGGGCGAGCACATAGAAAACTTTTCACTTGGACCAACTCGTTTTTGTTCGACCAGTTTGTACTTTTTCATCTGCAAGCGTGAGCGCACCGCTCTCGGCTACACAAGCCTCGCTCGTTCTGTGACCCCGTTTCAGGACGAGCTCCTGCTGCCGGTGTGTCTTCTCTCTTCCGTAGCCCGGACCACCTTTGGTTGTGTTTGCTTGTTTGGTCGTTTTTGGTGTTCCCACCAAGTTGCCTCCTCTTTCTTTTTTGATGACAACCCAACTTGGGCAACCTGATTTTTTTTCGTGTAGGACGTCGGCTTTCGGCTAGAACAAACCAGTACACAACAATCAGATGGCCCTGGTCCTCATGCTGAAATGATTGTCAATCGTGCCACCCGTGGAAACAGCTCAAGGTATTGTAGACTCGTCTGATGAGGAGGAGGAGGAAGGAACAAGGACGCACGGTGCCAATAGCTATACAACGTACGCCTCGATTGGGATAATATATCCTTGTTGCACCTATAATTGCAGGACAAAACCTGTTATTGCTGTAAGGCATCCGCCCGTACACGAAGTCGTCAGCTCCAGCTCCAGAACACAAAGAGTCGCTGCTGCCGATTGTTATTGTCCCTTCCAACCACGCGCGGCAGGAGTGTGAAACTGCATCGGCCAGGGACTGGACTAATGATCTGAGAGTCTGAGAGGTTAACAACGTATCCTTCTCTCCCCCCCCCGCCGCTCTCTACTCAATTTTCTCTGTGTAAGGCGGGGAGGCCATGACTAGCGGGGTGAAGCGGGCTACCCGAAACTCGGGTATTGGGATAGACGTCAACCTGTGGGATCTGCGAGACCTCCCTAAGACTAGCACCGTGAAGAGGGGTGAGTGAGGTGGAGGCCTCAAACAGATTGATGCAGTCGCGGTGATTGTAATTACATGGTTGCCTGGCGGCCCGGCAGCGGCAACGATGAACAACAGCCCGGACCCCCCCTCCCCAGTCAGGACCCCCTCCCCCCCTCGCTCCACGACCCACGCAGCGCCCAAGCTGAATTTGAAGGACTACACCGTGAGGCTGCCACGCGCATCAAGGGACCAGGACATGAAGCTTCTCCGCCGGACGGCAAGGGACATCGAGGGAGTCGGGGAATCGGACCCGGTCTACCCGTTGACCGGACCTGCGTGCATCACGAGGAAGGAAGCTGCCGCTGCGCTGCTAGCGCTGGGCGAAGAGCGCGACGACGCGATGGTGGCGGCGGCGAAGGCGGCAGTATCGGAGAGCGGCGACTGCGGTGCAGGCGCCAGGAGCACCATCGCAGACGGTAAGAACAAGCGCTACGGAATGAGCTGTGGTGCATGTAGGGGGGTGAAGGGAGGGAGTACGGTGCGGTGGTACCAAAGTGAGGGCACTCTTGGCTCTATTTGACTGTTGTAGAGGCATGAGAGGCGCTTCTGGTATTGGTAAGGTGTGGTTCGGAGAGACATACCGTGGTGTCTCTCGTGCGGTTAGTGTTTCTGGTATTGGTAAGGTGTGGTTCGGAGCGGACATACCGTGGTGTCTCTCGTGCGGTTAGTGTAGTGGCTAACCTCGAATTGCTCCCAAGAGTCGCACCCCCTTGCCCCTGGCTGGTTCAGGCTCAGGACTCGCAGCCTGTGACTGTACCTTCACTACCCCCTGCAGCTACATCTGGTTGCCTGACAGCGCCGTTTTTTCCGTTGCATACGCTGTGTTGAGGTAGGTTACGTGTCGGGGACACCACCTCCTGCACCCAACTAGATAGCAAAAGCTGGTACGCGAGACAACCACGTCGTGACAAACGCATCCTCACCCACACCACCCCGACCCACGTCCGTTCTTTGCCAGGCTCGATCCCCCTTGCAATGGGCATCAACCAGCCACTCCTGGCGGAAGCCGAAGCCGACGCCCGCTTGGCCAGCCCTGGCGTAAGCCGTAGCCTCACCACGGAAGACCAACGTAGCTCGCTGCCACACCCCGCGCAGCTCTACCACGCCCAGGGCAAGCCGGACTCGAGCGACGATGCCACCGGTGCCATGTCAGCTGCTGCGAAGATTGCCCCCGCTAGAGCCGGAGACGTGGCCGAGTTGGCGGCGGCGGCGGCGGCTAAGGTGTTCTCTCGTGGGGCGGCGGAGGGAGAACCGGTCTTGAAGAGAAGCTTGGCGACGGCCGTGGCCAACGACATCGCCAACAGCATGGAAGTGGCCGGCGGCGGGGGCAAGCGGTGCGACGGCGGCAGCAGCAGCGGCGGCAGCGGCAGCGGCAGCGGTGGCGGTGACGGCGTAGCAGGCGGAGGGGTTGGAGGAGGGCAAGGGCCGCGCTTCGAGCCCGAACACGGCGTCGGGGGATCGACTTCGTCAAACAGATACAAGCATGTGGTCCGCGATGGCGACGTCGGCGGGGACTCTTCGATGGTTGACCGACTGGGCAAGATCGCCTGTGTCTGGGGCAGCAGCACGGGACACCACGGGCAGGGAGGAGATGGCGGTGGGAAGGCGGGAGCCGGGTGCTACGGGAACGGAGGAGGGGCTAGCAGCGACCAGGCCGAAAGCGATGGAGCACACACCAGTGGCAGTCGCGGCTACAGCGGTGGCTACAGCGGCGGCTACAGCGGGGTCACTACATCCGATGACAACGACAGCAGCAGCGGCGGTGATGGAAACGGTTTCATCATGACCAGCAGCAGAAGCAGCAGCAGCAGCAGCAGCAGCGGCGGCGGCGGCCACGCAGGATACAGCCGTGCTTTGCACCACAAGAGTCGCCCAGACGAAAGCAACGGTTGCGACGGGTCATCGAGCGCATCTTCGCCCTCCTCACCGTCTCGCGATAGCTGCCTGGGGAAGCAGAAGAGGGAGAACAGCAACGACGACGGGGGCGGTGGGGCTAACGTCATCAGCAAAAGGGCGAAGACTGGGGGCCGCTACTGCTCCTACAGCGGCGGCAGCGGCGGCAGCGGAGCCACCACCTCGGACGGCAACGACAGCAGCGGCGGCAGCGGCGGCTGCGGAGGGGGGATCATTTCCGCGAGCAGCAACAGCAGCAGCACCGGCGGCGGCATCGCCTGGGACAACACCATGGACGACGCCGGTGGATGCGACGTGTCATCGAGCGAGCCCTCGCCGCCCTCGCCGTCTTTCGACAGCAGCAGCTTCGGGAAGCGGAAGAGGGGCCACAACGACAACGACGACGACGACACGGTCGATGGGAGTGGCTGCGTGGACGTCAACAAGGCGTCCGGCGATGACGGCGCCAGCGAGCGTTGTGCTAAGCGCGTCCGGCAGGCGGCTGGCGGACAGTCCCGGCAACTCCGAGGGTCGCGTGACCGCAGTGGAAAGTAAAGCACCCCGCACGAAGGAGATGCCGGGTGAGCGTCACTTCGTTGGAAGAGTTGTGAACGAATTGAAGTATGATGTAAATTCTCCCTACGGTGGATGAAAATATCTTCGTGTTTCGCCCAAGCACAGACCCTGTTCACTTGTAGACCCCGTGCGCAAGGCAACACCCTGCAAAGCAGCGTCTGACCCACCGCAATCTTCCCACGTCCCTGTTTCTCGCTCCCCCTCCTGTGACGCGACGCTATGCTCCCTCCCCCATCACACTCTGCTTTCGTCCCAGGAGCAGTGCAACCGACTGCTTGACCTGTCGCACGTTCAAGTGCTGTCTCTGGTGGATGGGATTCGATGGGTGGGTGCCATGCTGATATGGATAGCACCGCGAAGCACCAAGCGTTGGAGCGTTGAGTGGTGGGTGTGGCGGGGCATTCAACTGTTGGTGACGGTTTTTTCTGTTCATTTACTTTGGCAAGGGTTTAGTGTAATAAGCAAGACAAACGCACGTCACGTTGTGGTTTGTTTGTACTGCTACACTCTCTCCTGGTATACGGCGTAGCTTTCTGCACCAAGGCCTAGACGCAATGCCTGCACCGGGCATTTTCAGCACATGCAAGCGGCATTGTAGCGCGTGCCAAGCTCGTGTCCATGTGTGCCACGGCCGGGATGGGCTACGGTTATGTTCACACCATTTAACACATGTTCTTGTTTAACACATGTTCTGTAATGTGTGTCAGCCATCATTTACTTGTAGTAGGGTAGCCTTAACGTTAAGCTCGAAACCGCCTCTCGTCTGTAACTAGCTTATCATCCATGGGCGGGCATGGATGAGTAAATCAGGAAAAACGGAGTGCTTGTACCTCTCATGACTTTCCATGGCGGCATCATTCTACGCTTGAGGACTGGTTGGATTCCGTGCGGCCCTCTCTGCAGCTGCTTGCAGTGGTGTCGCCTATTTGGCAACCAACCACGACTGTTTTGGAGCTTCCCCCCCGGGCTGTCTGAAAATACTGTTTGTTTGTTTGTGTCGTCGGTGTTTTGCGGTGTGCTGAAAGTACCTGTGTGGCTCGATTATTTTGTTGCTGTGCGTTCTTAATCTTAAGTGAGCCTTGCATAACCCACCCCATCACTGACTCTATTTCGGAGCTTCCCTTGAACAGAGAAATAGTCAAGGTGGCTGTGGCTCAGTTCGGGAATCAATCGTTTTTTTTACGGCGGCATTCCTGCCGCGCTGTCTAACAAATGTGAGTTCGTTGGAAACAGCACATTCATTCTATGATCTTGTTGAGTTTTAGGGATGGATGTAAAGAGTGTTGTTGTTGTTGTTGTGAAGGGATCGTCTGTCTGTGGTGTACAGATTGAAGTAGGCTCTGCGTACAACTATGTATGTATGTCTTGCATGCTTCTCGAAACGGGTCGCCGTATTTTCCATTGAAGTTTTTGAGACATCACAGTAGTAATGTAGACTATGTATGTGTCTATAATTAATGTTGATCGTTTTGGGGGGAAGGATTATTTGTCCCAACAGAGCCGTGCTGTGTGGCTAGAGTGTTGTTGTAATGAGGTCGAGGCTAGAGTGTTGTAATGAGGTCGAGGCTAGAGTGTTGTAATGAGGTCGAGGCTAGAGTGTTGTTGTAATGAGGTCGAGGCTAGAGTGTTGTAATGAGGTTGAGGCTAGAGTGTTGTTGTAATGAGGTCGAGGCTAGAGTGTTGTAATGAGGTCGAGGCTAGAGTGTTGTAATGAGGTCGAGGACCCGTGATGAGACGATGATCGTTTGAACCAAAAGAATATGCCGATAGAGCGGGATAACATTGAATGATGAATGTTACGTTCTCAATGTCGTAGTTTTTTTGTCGTAATCCATTCACTCATTCATCACTCACTCACGTGCCAGCGTAGGCGACCTTTCGTTGCAACGCGGTCTGTTTGTCTCTGCGTGATGTCTGCCGTGTTTGTACGTTATAGTAATAATGTGTGTGTGGTCTTTCACTCGTTCGTTCGTTCGTCGTGTCGTCCGTGACTAATCTCTTGATTGGGAAGGAGGGGTTCCCCGTGCCGTCGGAATGACATCACCCGGTACCGTAGGACTCGCTTGTTGTTGTGTTATCGCTCGTATGCAAGCAGCGTGCGTAGTAATTTTGGTTCTTCTTATGGGCGGGGCGACGGGAAAGAAATCAGTATACTACGACGACAACAATTAATTTTCATTGGCAATATTACAACGATAATCCATCCATCCGTGGAGGAGGGTGAGGGATTGATTGTTATTGTTTTGTTTTCGTTCAGCGTGAGTAGGTCAGGTGTAAAAACGCGAGGCTTCGGATGGATGGATGGATGTAAACGGCGTGAGTGAGGAAATATTATTACAGAACCGGGGCCGGCGGCTGTCCCACTGCTCGTAGGAGCACCATGAACAAACGACGATCGTTGGTTGGCTTGGGTGTGTTTTCTATTGACATGATGATGATGATGATGAGTGGATATTATATATATATCTCCCTCCCAAGAATTACTTGTTGCTATTAGGTGGTACACTGTATCATAAGAAGACAAGAATGTTTTATGTATGTTGTATCCCTTCGCCTTGGTTGGGATAAATTTGATTCTCGGAGGGGAGGAGGGAGGTGAGGGGTTGGGGTGGGGTTGCTCGAGACTGCTGTGTCGAACGGAGTTATTGCGGCGGAAGACCCAGATTTTTTTTAGTTGTTGTTTCGATAACAACGGATGGATGGATGTCATGACGAAAGGGTGGGTGGGTGTGGTGCTCTCTCTCTTCTTTTGTCCGCGGACATCGCGATGATACGTATTATTGTAGTTCTAGCACCATTCGGGAGCCAGTAGTAGTAGGTTGTCGAGAAGAAGGGAGACAGACAGACAGACCCAGTTTTTGTTTTTTTTCGATAGCGATCTCCTGGTGGGCGGAAAAGGGTGGGTGGTGGTGGGTGGGTCGGGTATACAACAAGTAGTGCTCTCTCTCTTTTTTTTGTCCGCGGGCGTCTGTCTGTGTAGTTCTGGGACCACTTGCGGGAGCCTGTAGTAGTACTGTGTTAGTTTGTGGCGACGGAAGTCCCATTTTTTTTCGGGGGTTCTTCGACAGCAAATCTCCTGAGGGTGGGTGTGGGTGTGGGTGTGTGGTGCTCTCTCTTCATGGCGTCGTAGTAGTTAGTATTCTTTGCGGCACCAGGGATCAGTGTAAGTGTTTAAGGCGAGACATGAGATGCAGTCCACCGACCGACCTGTGATTTATTTTTCACCTCCGGAAGATAAGTCCTATTTGCTGGGCTCCCTGGAAGCAAGGTCAGTCGTCCCATTTTGGGCGGCAGAGCATTGGTCCCGACACCAAACGGTCGTTGCCTCACCAACCATCGTCAGCGTACCTCGTGCCTCGTGTTCTTATAAACGAACGACACAACCCGACAAGAAAGACGATGAGATGCATCATGTATAGAACTTTATTGGGAAGAAAAGCCACTCAGTTGTACCATCACCGCAAAAAACTTACTCCCGTCCACGATTTACTACGTTCTACTACGTGGGGGATCGAAGTTCAAGAATCCAAGGAAAATGAACGCAAAACGAAGACAAATACGGGGCGCATTACCTACCCGCCACATCCACGGAGTCCCCATCCCCGATCTCTTGCTGGTTACAACCTCCTGAAACGGTCACCAGAGGAAGCTTTAGGCCCATGCAGAAACAACATGGGCTGGCCAAAAGAAAAAAACAATCCTGTGCTGTTTGGTTGTAGCCAAGTGTCAATCCTGTGCTGTTTGGTTGTAGCCAAGTGTCTACCCCCCATAGCCAAACTTAAGTGGCACTGACGAGGACCAGCAAGAGACGTCATTTGACGTCCGAGATGCGCGACTTTTTCTATGCTACGCGAAGACGTCTAGAGGACAAACTGGACAAAAAACATCCGCGCAGGGGGGGTGTAAGCGCGGCACACATCGATACGAAGAAAAACAGGGAAAACACGAAAGAAACCGTTCCCGCTGTCACAAAAAAATGCAGGACAAACAACACGTCGTGTCGAGGATCACATCTAAAATCTGCAGACAGACGGGAGTGGTATGCATACATGCAACCAAGGATTGAATTGCGAGTCTTTCTCAAGATTCATGGCTACCCGAGCCTATCAAACGGCGGTTCGCGTGCGCGAAAGAGAGAGACACACAAGACATGCATTACGCAGCCGTATCTCCTCAAGCTCAAGCTGCTCCTTGTCTTTCGCCCGACCACCTATTAGGAAACATGTCCTCGTTAGTTATTAAGTCAGGCCACAACTACTACTCTACGGCCCCTCCCGATCCCCCTGGTCAACTCTCCGCCCATGCGGAAACGGACGGACGGCTATATTATGCGAGGCCAACCCAACGGATGCGCAGGCCTCCCTTTTTCGCTCGTCGTTAAGACTTCGCTCCACGGCGACGTGAGCTAGGGCTTGCAGTTCTGGAACCACCGGGTGGTCTCGATGTCCTGCTGGGGAGGCTTCACGTCGAAGGGGCACTCGCTGCCCTCCTCGAAGCTCTTGGCGGCATCGCCGCGGAAGGCCTTGTCGCTGCCGCTGATGGTGTTCTGGCAAATCT